CCATATTTATTTGCTTCTTCTCGATTGCGTCGGCGCTCATGACGATTTGAGACGTGTTCAGGGCGCTCTCCTCTCCCATCGAGCCAACTTTCTTCACCTCAACCATCACCTCGGCGATTTGCTCGGAGACGTTGACGATGTCTGCGTGCATCTGCTGCATGGCGAGTTTGATCGCGCCCATCGTCGCTCCAGGCGTCCCACCTCCCGACATTGCCTTGGAATCGATCGCCTCTAATCCACCTTTGTTGACGAGTCCCATCACGCCCGCCTTCTCTCTCTCTGCTCGTTTTTCATCCTGCTCTTTTCGCTCCTTTTCGAGCAACTCGCGCCAATTTTCGGCAACGTTTCGCGTCTCGGGATGCAGTAGCGCTCGTCTATCACACTCACTCAACGCGACGCGAGCCATCTTTGGCCTATTCAACCGCGATAGTGATGCAAAAAACTCGTCTTCGAAGTTTCGCAGCAGATTAGGCTGATGTTGTGAACACATGTCGTAAAAAGCACCGTGATCCAAGACGAGCGCCTCGACGTACTTATCAAACGGCATGGCGCACAATATTCCCTTGTGGAAACCAGACAGTAGTCCAGGATTCAAAAGCGTCCCAGGGCCTCTGAGTAGCCCTTTCTCCTCCGCGATCTCTATCTGTTGATCACGCAGACGTTTGCGTTTGATTCTCATCACATCGGCGTGATGAAATCCACTCTGTTCATCAGGAGAATACGTCACCCTGCCTGTCAGCGTGATGAGCATCCTCTCAGCCAATTCATACGGATAACACATCCTGGAGCCACGAGCGAACATTTTAGTGTCCATCGTGCGACAGAGAATCTCTATGACGATCGAATCGGGCTCCACAGTCCCGCTCGCTGTTAGACCGGTCACCATCGGCTTGCCATAAATGTAAAAGTTGACGTCGGCGCGAATCGCTTCTGGAAGGGGTTTAATGATGTCGCGATTCACCAACTTGGCTGGTTTCGCAGATGACTTATAGTGTGACCGCACGCGAGATTGTAACCCACTAGGCATCTTGTTTTCCGCGAGCAGTTCTCTCACGTGGTTCATGAGAACCGCAAAGCGGTTGCCTGGCGAATCCTCATCCATCGTCATGTTCACGCCAGAGATGATGGCGGAAAACACAAACCCACCGGTAATCATGACTAGGATCGCGACGACTCGCTCGGCCACCGTCGTTGGCACGACATTACCGTAACCCACCGTGGTTAGCGTTTGCACCGCCCAAAATAGCGACGCTACGTACATGTGGCTCTTTTGTCCGCTCTCTCCGCTCATGTCTTCACGAGTGAAATCGTACACGTAAGCGTACAGGCAAGCCGTCCAGTGCGACAAAAGTATGAGAAAGGCAACTAAACGGAGAATCGTAACACCTTTCCTTACCCTCCTCCTCACGCTCACTCGCGATCACCTTTTCATACGACTCTATCGCTTCTCCGTACTCCTTCAATCGTCTCTCGATCGCGTCCTCGTCGCTCGCCCGCTTCGTCATCGCCGCCGCCCGCTCCTCTAACAACGCCACCTCCCGATCGCGAATCTCCCCTCGCGCCCGTTCCGCCTCGACCATCGCCGTGAGCGTCGCCGCCGTCTCCCTCCCTCGCGTCTCCGCGAGCTCGAGCGCGCTCTGCAGATGCCGACACAGTTTTTCCAACGCCTCGCATCGTTTCGTCCGCCGTTCGAGCTCGATCGCGACGTTCGCCGCCCTGTACGCCACGTCACCGAGCCCCATCGTCCGCGCACGCGCGCGCGAGGTCGTCGTCGACGTCGCGATCGCCCGCGTCCGCGCGCGCGCGCCGTCGACGCGTCAGTGTGTCGCGCGCATGACGAGTCGTGTGCGCGATGAAAAGTTGGCGCTCGCGCGCCTCGCGTACCCGCGCGCCGAGCCGTGGATCCTCGAGAGCGCGTGCGCGTCGCTCGACATCGCGTCGGCGGACGTGGCGACGATCGAGGCGACGTTGACCTCGTTCCTCGGTCCGTGCGCGTCGTCGACGGCGCTGCGGACGTGCGCGCGGGCGTTCGCCGCGGACGCGCGGCGACGCGACGGGGCCGAGGATCTCGATCGCGCGCGCGTGTCGACGTCGGACACCACGTCGGGGGTAGGGACGTCGAGCGGGACGACGGGCGGGCGCGAACGGGGGGGGCGCGCGCCGGCGCGGGAGACGCGCGCGGTGCGCTTCGTGGACGGACGGAGACCCGCGCGAGGGACGCGGGCGAGCGTGGACGCGACGCCGCGCGCGGGCGGGGCGTTGCGCGCGGGGATTTGTTGAAGTCGTGCGTGAATTGCTTGGCGTGCGGGAAGGTGTACGACGTACGGGAGAAGGACGGGGTGACGTCGCGGAGCGCGTCGGCGTTTTTAGAGAGCGGCGGGAAGTGCGAGCACTGCGGCGAGTACGTCGAGGTCACGCTCGCCGACGGGACGACGCGGTTTCGCGGTGGTGGAGAGACGTGTGCTCAAAGGGAGGACGCGGAGGTGCGCGCGAAGATGGGTGAGATGTCGCTCGACGAGGACGCGGAGGCCGAGCGAGAGAGAGCCGCCGCCGTCGCCGCCAAGGACCGACTCGTACACTTCGACAAAACGAGCGCCAAGCGCACGACCGTGATCGACGACCAATCTGAGTGGTACGACATCGATGGCAACGCGTGGTTGGATGAGGACGAAAGGGCCGAGTTGAAGCGACAGGCGCGTGAGGTGGCGGAGGCGGCGGAGGAGGCCAAACGCAAGGCGAGGACGACGTGGACGCTCGATCTCGTCGGTCGAAAAGTCGTCGTCCCACCGAGCGCAGACGCTCTGGATGAAGAGGCAGAAGACGACGAACGGGCCTCCGAGGACGCTCTCGCCGCCGCGCGCGCGATTCGAACCGCTCTCGAGACGAGCGAGGCGCTGACGCAAGGCGGCGTCCTCCGCGGCGTCTCCGCCGCCGCCGAGACAGCGCGCGAGGTCGAGCGTCGAGTCTTCGTCGATCCCAGAGTCGACGCTCGCCCCTTTTTCCTCCCCGCCGCCGCCGACCGAGATCACCGCGCACGGGCGACCGCCGACCGCCGCGCGCGCGCCGACGCGTTTGCGCTCCGCGCCTCCGTCGCCTCGCGCGTGCTCGACGACGACCCCTTCACCGCCGTCCTCGACGAACTTCGCGACACCGGCGTCACGAGCGCGTGACGACGATCCGCGCGAGCGAACGTGTGACCACAGAACCGATCGACGCATCATCCTCGCCCCGCCCGTCGTCGCCGCCGCCCGCCCATGTAGTCTCACAATGCACACGCGGACCCTTCCACACGGACACCCCCCCGCGCGCGCTCGACGTCTCCCGAGTGCGCGCGCGTCGCCGTGCGCGCGGGCGCGTCCCCCCGAACGCTCGCGTTCGCGCGTTGCGTCGTTCGCCGTCGAGCGCGCGTCGTCTCGAGCGTGGACGTCACCGCGCGCGTGGACAAAGTCTCCGGAGACGCGGTGGACGTTTGAGAATATTCGTCGACGTCGGTCGTCTCGCGGTCGTCGCGCGCGGTAACGGCGGAAGAGGATGGTGAAATTCGGACGGCGACTCGATTCCGAAGCCAGGGATGGGTGGACGGGGAAGTACATCGATTACAGGGCGCTGAAACGGTTGGTGTACGAGGCCAAGGCGGACGCGGATAGGGAAGCGGCGTTCTTGGAGGCGGTGCGGAGCGAGATTGGAAAGGCGAATGCGTTCTACGCCGAGACGGAAAAAGGGTTGAGAGAACGTTTGGATGCGGTAGAGGTGGATATCAGACGAGACGCGGCGGACGCGACGGCGATACGAAAGGCGAAGAAGGCGCTGCTGCGAGATATTTATCCCGAGCTGAGCGAGCTCAGAGAATTCGTGGTGCTCAACTACACCGCCGTTGTGAAGGCGGTGAAGAAGTTTAACAAGAACTGCGGGAAGAACGAGAACGCGGTGAGCATTCTGAGCGAGTCACCAATGTTTGTTTCTCTCGGGTTGGCCAAGTTGGTCACGCGCACGGAGATGTTGGCGGTTCACGTGGCGCCGAAAAAGTCGGCAAAAGTCCTTGAGGACTCAATCTGTCCGGTTTGCGAGGACGTTTTGAGCAATCCAGTGGAACTCCCGGGGTGCAAACACAGGTTCTGCTTCAAGTGCATCATTAATAGTACGCCGGCCTCGAGCACTCCGCTAATCACGACGTCCTCGGTGACAAACCTGAGCGACATCGCACAACTCGCCGAGACGGGTTCGCCCATTATGAAGACTCCTTCAACAAACCGAGTGACGATGTTCCCGGGTCGGTGTCCGGTATGTAAGGCGAAGGATGATGCGAGCGCGCGAACGGGCTCGCGTTTCAAGCCCGATAGTCATCTGGACGACTTCATCAAGAATAACTTCAATGACGCGGATTACGAAGCGACGGACGCGGACGACCCGGTGGAAGACGCCATCCCGAGTGGCGATGAAGATGCCGATATTCTGCTTCCTTCGTCACCCTCGAGCGCTGGGGATACGGTGGTGAATGAGATCGCCACCGAACGCAAGGTTCTTCTTGTTGCCGTCGCAGGGTGTCGCGTCGACGCCATGCTCTCTGCGAATACACCGACGCTCAAGTCTTTCATTCGAGGCAACAATAATGCTTGCTTTTCGTTGGACATGAGCGTCAGCGCGATGCGATGCTCCACAAGTCCTGATTCACCAATGTTGCCTGTTCTCACCGGTCAATCAGTGAGCGTACTGAGAAGTATCGATGAAGATACCGACGCAACGTTTGAGTCCATCTTTGACCGGCTGAAGGAGACGCGCTCTTGGGTGAAGGGCGCGTGTGCGATCGGTGAAGCAGAAGATCTCGATAAGATCATGCGAAAGGAAGCAACTTCGTTGTTGCAATCGTCTTTTAACACGGATGTTGAGGTGGTGAACGCCATGGTGAAAACGCTCGAGTCCGCCAACACGCCGGACATGCTTCTGTTGCACTTGGGCGATATCCAGAACGCGGGATTCAAGTATGGATTTGGCCCACACGTTGATGAGTACATGAACGTAATTGAAGAGACTGACAAACGACTCAGCGCCGTGATGGCTTCTCTGCGTGCGCGCCAAGCGACGCATCGCAATGAAGATTGGCTCATCATCATAACTTCCCCTTCCGGAGGTACCTGTAGACATGACATGCCAGCCGGTATGCAAGGGCAGTTTGACGCGCACGATTGGAATGATGGCGGAGGCCGGCAACTTCGCTCGAATGGCGTGAGTGGACTCTTAGAGTTACCACAGCACAGCGCCGGTTGGGTTCTCATTGAAAGCGGCCCCAAGGTGCAAATGTCGGGTGAGTTACTCCCATCGCCGTGCGATACGGATATCGCACCCACAATTCTTGATCATTTCGGCATCGCGACGCGACGTGAGTGGGCGATGGATGGTGAGGATATGTTGGCCTTCCGCCGTCGTGAAGCTCGAGCAAAGGATCCAAAAGTAGGCGCGCGATTAAAGAACACCAAGCAGGGGTTCGAACAGCGTCGAGTAAGTCATCCGATCTTGAGCTCAACGCCATTTTCATCGCATCTTCCCGGGCTCATGGATCCTTCGGGTTGCGCAGTCATCGGTCACCGAGGCTTACAGGCCAACCGGCAGTCCGGTGCTGGCATTCGGGAGAACACTCTTGCGTCGTTCATCGCCGCGTCTCAAGGTGGTGCAGAGTGGTGCGAGTTCGACGTCCAGGTCACGGCAGATGGAGTTCCCGTGGCTTGGCACGACGATATCGTCATTATTCGTCGAGGAAACGGTCCGCTGGAGTCCTTCAGCATTCGAGAGATCGACTGGGCAGAGCTGCGCGAGTTGTCTGCGTCGGCGCGATCCAATGCTTCGCGACCGGTGGACGCTCTTGCGGTGGAGAACGCTATCGCATCGACCGAAGATGAAGATTATGACGACGATTATGAAGATGATGAAAGCAGTAGAGTCACTTTCTATCGAGTTTTTGGTGAAGATCCGGAACCTCAACCTTGGATTATGGAGATCGAAGACGATATCCCCACGCTGGGACAAATATTGAGCAACACGCCTGACTCGCTCGGTTTCAACATTGAGCTCAAGTACGACGAAGAGAATAGCTGCGAGACGCGTCGTCTGGTTGCCGAGTTGCGTGCCATCCTGGCGGTATGCTTCGAGCACCCCAACCGCAGAATCGTTTTCTCTTCTTTCGATCCAGATGCCGCTCTGCTTATGCGCGCCATTCAAGGCGCCTATCCTGTGATGATTTTAACAGACGGCGAACCGGATCACGTCGATCCAAGGCGTCGATCCGTCGCAGCCGCGATGGAAGTCGCACTCCAAGGAGGGCTATGCGGTGTCGTATCCGACGTCAAGGCCATCATGGCGAACCCGTCGGATGCGTTGGATGTCCGCGACAACGGTCTGCTGCTCGCGACGTACGGCGAAGGCAACGACGACGCGACGTCATCTTCAACGCAGGTCGAGCTCGGTGTGTACGGTATTATCACTGATCGCGTGCCAGATGTTGCGAAAAAGTTCAACGCGGCGAGCGTAAAACAGAGCAATCTGGCCCCTGCACTGGCGCCTCTAGTGTCGCCTTCTGAGGAAGCCGCGAGCGTCGCGACAAAGTTGGGCAAGTTAGAACTCGATATGGTCATGCGCTCGAACTGGTACAAACTATCGGATGAAGGTCAAAAGATCGAATTGGCGAACGGCGTGCAGAGACAGCGCTCGTCGTCGCCAATCCGACGACACGCCTTACGAGGCAGTGTCAACTATGATTCCGACACCGCGTCCGTGTCCGACGCTTCGTACACCCAGAGACCGAATTCACCCAACTCATTCCAGAAGCATCACACAAGAAATAACGAAAAGTGGACGGGGTTCCCCTCGTTTCAAAGGTTGCGGCCGCACGGATTCAGATCGAACAAGGCGTCTACACTGACCCCTCAGCAACCGTCGGTGGCGATCCCGCCCGTCGTGAGCTGAGACGCTTGGCTGATCAGGCTCGTTGAATAGGTTGTCACCGCGCGCATGCGCGCGCGTCAACGGTTATTTCGCGTTGTATTTAGCCCGCATTTTTTTCACCACCACCAGCGCCGCATCGAAAGCAGTGGCGGGAATTGTAACTACAAGAGCTCAGAGCATCAGACTACGGTATATACTACACACGTGCGCGCCGTGCGAGCACCCTGAGAGCGCGACGCCTCGAAACTCCGCTCGATCGACCCGCGCGTCGCTCACAGCGCACAAATCGCACGAGTCCGCACGCGACGTCACGAACGCGCGTCGAGCGTCTCCCGTGACGCGCTCGTACGCGATGCGTCTGTACACGTTTCACATGTTCAACGCTCGAGGCGAGTGCATTCATTCGCGCACGTGGCATCGCGAACGCGAGAGCGCGGACGAAAACATCGAGCGTAAGACGCTGTTCGGCTTGTTCTTCACAATGAAGGACTTCGCGCGACAAATGGATCCGAGACGAGGCGAGGAGGACGGTGGGTGTAACTTTTACGCGTACGCGACGAACGACTACAAGCTGCACTACTTCGAGACGGCGACGGGACTTCGAATGACACTCACCACGGACGTCAACGCCGGAGATTTACGAGCGGTGATGCGACACGTATACTCAAACATATACGTCGAACACGTGGTGAAGAACCCTGGGTTAGCGCCGAGCGAGGTATTCGAGAGCGCGGCGTTCGACCAGGCGCTGGACGAGTACGCGAGCGTTCTGGCCAACGGGTGAGGAGAATTTCGACGCAAACGCGGGCGTGCGCCTAGGATCGCGCGTCCGTCGTTAGAGGACATCATTAGCATTTATCATAGCACGTAGCCACGCGTCCGAGCCATCGAGCGCGTCTTACACATCGTCCGCCGCTTCGCGTGCGTCTTGTCCCGTCTCGCCGCGCGCGCCGATCCGCAGAACGAGACGCCCCTCGGAGCGTCCGTGCTCACGCCACTCCGGCGCTTCATCGCGATGGGTGACATGGCGCCCGAACCCGCGCGCGCGTCCGCACCGAGCGCCGCCGTGGACGCCGCGCGCGACGCTGAACAGCGCGCGCCGCGATCGCCCGCGCCCGCGCCGTCGAGCGCGAATGACGACGGCGTGCGACCACGGAGATACGACAACTGGGGCGCGCGATCCGTGGAGTGCTACGAAAAGCTCGAACAGATCGGTGAGGGGACGTACGGACAGGTGAGTGAACGAAAGCGAACGAGGGCTGGGACGGGATCCGAAGGGGACGCGCGAGTCGAGCGAACGCGAACGCCGAACGCGCGAGAACTCGATCGATCGACGACGCAACGCCGGTGTGATGCGGTACATTATTAGAGCGCACGACTGATGAGTGTGGCGATCTCACGAGTAGGTGTACATGGCGCGATGCAAGGAGACGATGGACATCGTCGCGCTGAAGAAGATTCGCATGGACAACGAAAAGGAAGGGTTCCCGATCACGGCTATTCGAGAGATTAAAATTCTGAAGAAGCTTCGCCACCGAAACGTAGTGGATCTGAAGGAAATTGTCACATCCAAGGCGAGTGCGTCGAACGGGCACAAGGGGAGCATTTACTTGGTGTTCGAGTACATGGACCACGATCTCACAGGTCTGGCGGAGCGACCCGGGATGAAGTTTAGCGTGCCACAAATCAAGTGCTACATGAAACAGTTGCTCATGGGGTTGCACTACTGCCACAACAATAACATCCTTCATCGCGATATCAAAGGAAGCAATCTGCTTATTAACAACAACGGGGTGCTGAAACTGGCTGACTTTGGTCTCGCGAAGCCCATCACGAATGAAAACGCGCAGCCGTTGACGAACCGTGTCATCACTTTATGGTACCGCCCCCCCGAACTGTTGCTTGGAGCGACACAGTACGGACCAAGCGTGGATATGTGGAGCGCCGGTTGCATTTTCGCCGAATTGATTCACGGGAAACCCATCCTACCGGGTAAGAGCGAGATGGAGCAGATGGACATAATCTTCAAACTCTGTGGTTCGCCTACACCAGAGAACTGGCCGGACGCTGACAAGTTGCCTTACGCGAAGCACTTCACGCAAAAGAAGACATATCCACGCAGACTGCGCGAGGTTTTCAGTCAATTCACCCCGAGCGCGAAGGATTTGCTCGAGAAGTTTTTGACACTCGATCCCGCCAAGCGCATATCGGCAAAGGACGCTCTCATGCATGACTGGTTCTGGGAAGTACCAAAGCCGTGCGAGCCCGAAGACTTGCCGCGTTACGAACCATCGCACGAATACCAGACGAAGAAGCGTCGCCAAGAAGCGAAGCGTGCGGAGCAACAGAACAAACGTCAACGCATGGATGGACACAGACCGCCGCCGCCGATGGATGACCAAAAGCCGGCATCGGGTCCCGATGTTAGGCCGAGGGGCCACGCGGGCCCACCGGGAGGTATGCGTCCGGGTATGCCGCCGTCGGGACGATACGGTGCGGGAGGCAGTGCATCGGGATGGTCGAGCGGAGGTCAGCAAAAGCAGTCGTACGCGCAGCGCAGCATCGGCAGACAACCGACGTCCGGGTATGGCAGCATAGGAGGAGGCATGAACAGGTTAGGCGGTAGCGGTGGAAGTTACTCAAATTTGAACATTACCACCGGTACAAGCGGTGGCTCGTATAGCGGTTATCGCGGCGGGAGCAAGACCGCGGGCTGGGCTGGCGGTGGCCAAAAAGCTGGCAGCCAGAAAGCCGGATGGGCCAACGTCTCAAAAGATGCCAAGGACGGGGAGCGCCGTAACTGATTCGTTTCAAAGACTCGCACATAGAAGCGCTTGACCAGATAGATGGGATATCTTTCTTGGCCGTGGCGCGAAAAAAATAGGTAAATTTAACGGGCACGTGACATCGCAAAAGCGAGTCTATCACCAATGCGCGCGTCTCGGAACGAGGCACCACAATCGTCCACACTCACCGACGCGCGCGCCGACGCTCGACGCCCACGCGTACGCGACGCGAGACGAAGGGTTGTCCTAGACTCGGCGAACGCGCGCGATGTCGAACACACGCGACGTCGATCGTGTCGCGAGGTCATTCTCGCGCGCAGTGCAGCTCCCACTCACGCGGCCGTCGTCCGCAGCTGTCGCGCTCGGACCCGGTGGGCAGTCCACCGATCGGTTTGAAATGCGTTCGTTCTCTCGAACGACAGTTCTTTCGAACGCGCCGTCGTCGCAGGCCGTGGGCACGCTGAGCGGTCTGCGAGCGGAGACTGGTGAGAAATGCTCTCGCGTTGGAGTCGACGAAATCGCGCGTGAGGACGACGTGGAGCGTTGACTGACGATCGAAATTGTCCGCGCATTAGGTCGAATCGCGAGTGAGTATATGGCGATGAAATCCACGAGCGAAGATCTGAAGCGAGAGAACGAGGAACAGCGCGTGGAGATTCGTCGGCTTGAGGCGGAGCGATCGGCGACGTTGGCACAGCACGCCGCACTCAAGGCAGCAATCGAGAGCGGCAAGCGACAGCGGCGTGCGCTCATGGAGAAGCAACAACAACTTGTAGACGTCGTGGATGAAGTTCATAAGAATCAAACACGTGCCGCTGAGCTTCTCGAAGAGTCGAAAGGAAACTACGACGTGTCGAGCAAGCTTGTTGAGGATCGGTTGAAGGACGACACGGAGGTTTTGGAAAAGCTCAAGACGATGACGGAAAACTTAACGACGAAAGCCGAGGAACTCGATCGCGAGAAGTCACACTCTCGCAAGTTGAGCGCGGATCTTGGTAATTTGCACACCCAATTTGATAGCGCTATGGATGAGCTTGCCGAGACGAAGAAGGAGTTGAAGGAAACGGAAAAGCGGTCTACAGAGTTGAAGCTCGAGCTTGAGAAAAGTTTGGATTTGTTGAACACAAAAGGCGAACAAATGAAGACACTCGAGCGGGCACAGGTGGAAGTTGAGAATAACATGAAAATACTTCACGAAGATAACATGCGCGTCGTGAAGAATCAACTCAAAGACGCGCAGGAAAGGAGTGCGGCTGCACAGGAGCAGATAGTTGCGTGGGAGGCGAAGAGTGTCGAACTTGAACGTAAATTGGCGAACACTAAACGTGAATTGGGAATGAAATCTCGAGATCATGATACGCTAAAGTTGACCGTCCCAACGATGGCGAGCGAAATCGACAGTCTCAGGGCCAAAAATAGATCTTACGAGTTACGAGTCGGTGACACCAATACGGAAATGGAGAAGCTTGAAGCTGAAATCCACGCGAAGAATGCGGAACTGAAGAGTGCACTCACGGAGAAAAGAGGATCTGAAAGCGAGTTACAAGCAATGCATGTCAAGCATGACGCGTTGTCCAATCAACACGAAGCTCTGAAAGGCACGATTGAGAAGCAACGCAACGAGCTCGAGACGCTGCAAACAAAAGTGAAGACGCTTGAGGTTGCTCTCGAGACCGCTGACAGGACGCAAGAGGCTGCCATCAGCGCGAAAATGACGAAAGAAATCGAACAAATTACCAAGAGAAACAAAGAGTGGATGTACAAGAAGGAAAGTGAACACGCACAAGCGCTCGCAGAAAAGGAAGCCGAGATTGACTCGCTGAGAGCATCTCTCGATGAACTTCGCACTCGCGTTGTTGAGTCATCATCACGCCATAAACCCGAGCGAGTGCGCCCTGTTGATGAGATTCCGGCATCAAACGGTAGGGGTGCACGCGAAGAGGCGGCGATTCCAACTCCCTTGCTCGTCGGCGATCGGCGTCGCGCAAGGTCTCGACCGCGTTCCGCCAAACGTGAGCGTGAGTCGCCTCCCGAAGAGCGTCGTGATCCTGTGCTCACCAAGCGGGACGTTGTAAAGCCTACCAGAACGACCGACAATGCGAGAGAAACTACGCCTCGGCGAGCTTCCGGGTCGAAAAAAGTCAAGAAAACTAAGAAGGACCTCAAGAGCGAAGTGCGCGCTGTCGCACTTCGAGCGGCTGAATGGGAGGAAGACGCAGACGACGATTGGGATCCGTTCGCCTTCGTCGAATGAGGATACGGCTTAACCATTTTAAAACGCTCTATGCTTGATCTTTATATCCGACGTGCATGGCAACCATCCCACCCGTGAGGTTTTCGTAACTCACGTGGCGGAATCCGACGCCTTGCATCATCGACTTCAACTCTTCCTGCGGCGGAAATTTCCTAATGCTCTCAACCAAGTACTGATACGATCCTCGATCGCGAGCGACGATCTCTCCGAGCTTTGGGATGATGTTAAAGCTATAAAAGTCGTACACCGATCGCAGCACGTCGTTCTCGACGCGACTGAACTCCAGAATCATATACTTTCCGCCCGGCTTGAGGCAGCGATACGCGTCCGCGATGGCCGCGCGCGTGTCTGTCACGTTTCTCAACCCAAACGCGATCGTGTACACGTCCACGGATCCGTCCTCCACTGGAAGCTTCTCCGCGTTCCCCTCGAGCCACTCGAGTTGATTCTGCGCGATCCCTCGAGTCGTCGCTCGCTTCATCCCCTCCCGAAGCATGGCTGGATTAATGTCGCTCACGATGACCTTCCCTCGCGTCTTCGCGTCTAAAACCTGCCCATCTAACTCCGCATCGCGCTCCGCGCGCTGCAGCGCCCGCAGAACCCTAAAAGCCACGTCTCCCGTCCCTCCCGCGACGTCCAAGTGCGTCATCCCCGCGAACGCGCCGACGCGAGAGACGAAATAATCCTTCCACAGCCTGTGCACGCCCGCCGACATGAGATCGTTCATCACGTCGTACGACGGCGCCACGCGTTCGAACACGCCGCGGACGAGATCTTCCTTATCATCGTACGCCACGTCTTCGTACCCGAACGACGCCGTGCGCGCGGAAGACGACGACGACGACGACGACGACGATGACGATGACGTCTCTCGTTCGTTCACGCCTCTCGACTTTTCATCCGTCGCGCTCCCGCTCGCCCCCGTCGTCGTCGCCGTCGACCACGCGCGCGCGGTGCGCCAGAGCGCTTCCCGGACCACCGACGCCGTCGCCCGCGCCCGCGCCGCCCGTCGCGCCGACGCGCCGAGCATCGCCCTCGCGTCGTCGTCTGACGCGTCGACGCGTCGTCGTCGTCCCGCGCGTCGTCCTCGTCGTCCCGGCGCGCGCGCGCGCGCTCGCGCGCGGCGCGAAGACGGGAGGGAGACGCCCCGCGCGTCGGCGCCGCTGGACGTCCCGGTCGACGTCGACCGGGACCGATCGGTCGCGGTCGACACCCTGGAGACGTCACGCCTCGTCATTCATCGACGCGTCGCGCTCGCCGCGCGCGCGATCGAGCTCGCGCGTCGTCGCTCGAACGCGTCGCTCGAGCGTGATGTTCGCGCGACGGGCGCGAGGGGTGATCGAGCGCGCGGTGCGGGGCGTCGCGCTGCGCGAGCGGACGCCGCTCGACGGGGTGGCGACGTCGACGACGGGCGTCGCGGCGTTCGCGCGCGCGCGATCGACGAACGCGACGTCGGAGCCGCTGTTGGTGACCATGATCGGGCTCAATCGACCGTTAAACGCGGTGCACCGGATGATCGAAGCGAGTGGGGCGGAGATTAAGGAATCGCGGAACGTGAAGCTCGGCGGGCGGGCGAGTAACATGTTCTTGGTGACGAACGCCGATCCGATGGCGCTGAAAAAGGAGTTCGAGGGCGAGTCGTACGACTTCTTCTCCGTGTTTCCGGCGCGGAACACGATTCAGGACGTGAAGGGGCCGTACTGCGAGACGTCGCCGTTGTTGCCGTACGTGCGCAAGGCGACGCTGAACGTTCCGTACAAGAAGAACGTCGTCACGGAAATCGCCGATTATCTGTGCAGCAAGGGCGTGACTCTGAGCCACATGGACGAGTATCGCTCGGGAAGAGATGTCGTTTTGGAGTGCATCATGCACCTCCCCACCGGTCTCGCCGAGTTCCCGGCGATTGACGACAAAATAATTCTCGAGCGTCTCGAGTCTCTCGGCGTCGTCGTCACCGAATTCGGCCGAGTCGAAGGTAAGCCCAAGAAGAGCGCCGCCGCGTGATTCCCGCGTTCGATGTGAATCATTCAAACCGGACACACGTCGAAACGCCACTCGCTGTTGTAAACGAAGCGCATTCATTCTAACCGCTCCCGTTGCCTCACTCGTCGACGCGCGATGCGGGCGACGATCGACGCCCTCGCTCGCGCCTTCTCCATCGGCCTCTTCGATGTCGACGAGCAGGGCGAGTTGGAGATCAACGGAATCTTCATACTCGGTGTCGCGCTTCTCTTCGGCGTCCTACGGCTCATCATCGTCGCCCCGGCCGCGTACAGGAGCGCGTCCCAGTACAACCGACATGCGTCGCCAAAATTCCAATTCATCGACGACGCGCGCGCGGTGCGTCGCGGTCCCTCGCTCGAGGAGATCCCGAGCGTGTGCGCGGACATGCGAGCGTCGTTTCGAAGCGGGCACACGCTGCCGATGCGGAAGAGGAAGGAACAGCTCGGGCAACTGTTGAAAATGCTGAAGGAGCGCGAGGATGAGATTCTGGACGCGTTGAGAGAGGATTTGTCGAGGGAACACGTGGAGGCATTTTACTACGATTTCGCGCTCCCTCGAGCGGAAATCCGGGCGATGTTGAGGAACATTCGATCGTGGACCGGGCGGAGCTTGGTGAAGGCGTTTAATGTGATCACTTGGCCGTCGAAGCAGTGGATGGAGCGACAGCCGCTCGGGTGCGCTTTGGTGTGCTCGAGTTGGAATTTTCCATTTTTACTTAGTCTTGTTCCAGTGGCAGGGGCGATCGCGGCCGGGAACGCTGTGGTTTTAAAGCCATCGAATGATAGTAAGGCGTCGACGGCGCTTTTAGTGAAACTTGTACGAGAATATTGCGATCCACGCGTTGTGCAGTGCGTTGGGAGCGAGGTGCCGGGTAACGGCGTGGACGTCATGCAGACAGTGTTAAAGGAGAAGTTTGACGTGATATTCTTCACTGGATCCTCTAAGGTTGGAAAAATTGTCGCTCGTGCCGCGGCTGAGAATTTGACGCCGTGTATACTTGAGTTGGGAGGGAAGAATCCAGTCGTCGTCACAGATTGCGCCGACGTGGACCTAGCGGCGAAACAGTGCGTGTGGGGGCGAGTAATCAATTGCGGGCAGCAGTGCATCTCGCCTGAGTACGTATTGTGTCACGAGTCGCGATGCGATGAGTTTGAGCGAATGTGTTCCAAGTGGGCAGCGAAGTTCGTTCCCGACGTCACGTTAAATGGTGCCATGGCGAGAATAGGCGGTCCCGATCCAGAGAGTCGTATGAAGGCGATCGCTAAACTGATCGACGACGCCAAGGCTGGTGTCGCGGGCGATACAGTCGTGTACGGCGGAACGTACGACGTAAAGAGGCGTTTGGTGGAACCGACGGTGATTAAGTGCGGTGAAAAGTCTCCCTTCATGGAAGCGGAGCTATTCGCGCCAATTTTGTGCGTTCATTCGTACAAGACGCTGGGGCAGGCGGTTGATACGATTCAGGCTCAAATGAAGCCGCTGACGATGTACGTCTTCTCTCGGTCGGCGAAGAAGACGCGCTTCTTATTAGATAACACTCACGCGGGTGGCGTGACGGTGAATGGTACGTTGACCCATTGTGCGCACGATCGTTTGCCTTTCGGAGGTGTCGGCGACAGCGGTTACGGACGTTACCACGGTAGGTACAGCGTGGAGTGCTTTCAGCGCGAGAAACCCGTTTTACAAAAAACACGATGGGGGCGCTGCTTAGGGCTCGGTCTTCTATCGGACCCGTCGTTTTTGTATTCGCCGCAAGCAGAATGGAAAACGAAGTGCGTCCGCGCTGTAGCGTCACTGATGTAATTAGAAACTCCGAAATATACGAGGGCCGATGAGTTCGACGTTGAGATAAGTCTCTCCGAAGATGCATTACAACTTTGTATGGAATTCTCCGCGCCCAACGCCCGTGGTCTCGCGTTTACGAACCAAACGACATTTGTGTTCGCCAACTAACGAGCATACTCGGCTTCATCGGATGATATCGACACATAGAGCGTGTTTGCGATCATCATCGTCACTTTGCCGATGTACCCACCGAACGAGGGAGACGAAGAGGGCTTTCGAGTTTCATAGCGAACGCAAGCCACCGTATGGAGAAAGCTGCTGAACGAGCGGGAATACTCGATCGTGACTTAATCCATGCGTACGGTGGCTAGCTTATCCTCAGCAGCCACGCTTCGAAGGGTCAACGCCGCTTCGTTTTGTGATTTCGAGAATGGTAAATTCCTCGGAGACGGTCGGGTGAATACCAACTGTCTCATCAAAGTCTCGCTTCGTGGCGCCCATCTTCATCGCCACGGCGTAACCCTGTGTGACCTCACCGGCGTTGGGGCCCAGATAGTGGAAACCCACGACGCGCTCGTCGTCTGCCAAGTTGGTAATGAGCTTGACGAAGCACGCGTTGTCATCGCGCACGGGAACGCCGTTGTGCTCTTCGTGGTTCACTGTCCACTCCAACGGCTTGAAATAGGAAATGTAGCACTCAACGTTGTCCGCACCGTACGTTTCAACGGCGAGCTCTTCGCTCATACCGATCGTACCGTATTCAAGAGGAGTGAACACAGTCGTCGGCACGAGATCGTAGTTCATCTTTTCCTTGTACGGAGTGTCGGCGAAAACGCGGCGCATCAAGCGCACGCCGGCTTTGATGGCCACGGGAGTGAGCTCTTGTCGTGTATCCAGCACGTCACCGATGGCGTAAATGTTCGGAACATTGGTTTGCTCGTCGACGCACGGGATCTTGCCATTCTTTGCGTTGAACTCGACTCCGGCCGCCGGAAGGTCGAGTCCCTCCGTGACGGCGTCTCTGCCAACAGCACAGACTACGGTGTCAAACGTTTCTTCAAAGGTGTTTCCGAACATCGTATTCTCGAAGGTGACCTTGATCTTTCCATCCTCTTGCTTTTCAAACTGCGACGGTTGCGAATCGCGCAGGAATCGCGTGCCATGCTTGCCCATGTACTTGCATATCTTCTCCGCGACTTCTTGGTCAAAGCCTCGGAGCGGGATGGAGCGAATCGCCACCGACGTATCGAAACCGAGCGCGGTCAAGAAACCAGCCGTCTCGAGAGAAATGTACGACGCACCGACGCACAAAGTCTTCCCAGGTGCATCGGGTTTGGAGAAGATGTCGTCGCTCGTGATGCAGCATTCCTTCGCGCCCGGCGCGTCCGGATACGCCGGTCGCCCGCCGACGGCTATGACAACCTTATCCGTCGTAATGATCTGCTCCGTCCCGTTCTTCTTCGTCGCGACGATGGTGTGGGCATCCTTAAACTTTCCGTACGCGTTAATGTACGTCACGTTCTTCTCCCTCAGCGTCGTCCGGTATCCAAAGTTGAGCGACCCGATGTGATTTTGAATCTGCTCCACCATCTTCGGCCAGTCGTGCCCTTCGCTCGCGAGTTTCCATCCGTACTCCCGCGCATCGCTGAACGATTCTCCCAACAACCCGGCTTGATGCATCAACTTCTTCGGAATGCATCCAACGTTCACGCACGTCCCACCGAGTCCCCACGTCGTGCCCGCCGGCGACGGTTTCACGAAATCCAAACACGCCGTCTTCGCCCCGTGCTTCGCCGCCTCCTTCGCCGCGGCGAGTCCACCGGAGCCACCACCGATGACGACGACGTCGTACTCGTACCCGTGGTCACCCTTCGTCTCGCTCATGGTCATCGCGCTCGACGTCCCGGACGCGAACGTCGGGAAAGCACTCGTCGATGCGGCTGTCACGCTCGAGCTCGCCTCGGCACCCGATCTGGATGACGCGCGAGCGCTGACGACGGACTCCGCGCGCGCGAACGCGCGTGTGAGCGCTCGAGAAGACGCTCGAGCGCACGCGGTAAGCGCGAACGTGCTCGAACGACGCCGCGACGGTGAACGACGGCGTGTGCGGACGATGAGAAGGCATGGGCGAGGTTGAGGGATTTGAGAAAAGAGCCTCGGCGAAGGCGACGGCGGCGCTCGGTCGGAGGACGATTCATGCGATGAATGCGCGCCGTTACATGGCTAACCGAGGTGGTAGGCGCGATCGTGCGAACGAGACGAACGGCCGAGGGATGTGATGAGACCCCGGACGCCGCGTTGGGCGGCCTCGGCGGCCGCGCCGACCATCGGACCGGCTATTTTGGTGGCGCTTCGGAATCCGGCGGAAACGTCGACGGAATCGAAACCCTGCGCGCGACGTCTCGCGTGCGAATCGGTCTGCACGTCAAAGAATTTGCGCACGGTAATCACCTGTACCGCGGTGACGAGGACGAGGACGACGACTTCGATCATGGTCGTTCGAACCGTGCGTCGCGCGTTGCTCTCGATCGTGAGCTTGTGTCTCTCCGCGCGCGTTCGTAAATACAGCTCCTCCTGTCGCAACTGTTGCACCCATCCGTTCAATCCGCTCACCTTGGACGTGACATCTTCCATCTGCGATGCTTTCAACCCCTCCTTGACGGTTTCCTTCGCCTTGGCGCGCTTCGCCTTCTCCGACTCCTCGCTCTTCGCCCCCGCCTCGGGCGCGTGCAGCGCCTGGAAGTAATCGCACTCCACGATCGCCGCCTTCCCACCCTCTGTTCCCTTGGCGTCGAAACACACGCTGTACGTCCCACACCCTTTCGACGGAATTTCAAACTCCTGTTCTTTTCGCTCCCCCCACCCTCCGCTCCACGTCCACTGCGTCAGCGCGCCTCCGCGCGCGTCCGACGCCTTCGCCTCGACGCGCGTCGCGTCCGACGTCTTCAACTCGAATCGTCCGTGGACCTCCACGCCATCCCTCTCGCACACCGCCGCGTCATCGCTCACGAACGTCTGCGCGCGTCCCACTCGCGCGTCATCGTCAGTCATCCACCGTTCGTCGTCGTCGTCGTCGTCATCGAGCGATCATCCCATCGACCTCTCATCCCATCGACCCATCGCGCGCTTCCATCGACGCACCGCGTGCACACACTCCGTCGTCCCCGGTCTGACCTCGATCCGCATCCCGCGCGCGCGGTGCGGCGAGCACATCGCGAGCGCGAGCGCGAACGCGAGCGAGACGCCACGCATCGAGACGCGACGGCGCGCCGAGCGATGGCGCATCGGACCATCGCGCGGCACTGGGTGACGTCGAGGACGTGAGCGCGCGCGATGTCCGGTGCGGCAGCGCGACGCGACGGTCGACGCGATGCGCGCGCGGCGCGGGCGGGACGGACGCGGACGCGGGAGCGGTGACGCGAATGATCGGGAATGATCCGAATCGATCGCGCGTGGACGAATGCGTGCTCGGTCGTCGACGACGGTGGCGCGCGAGATGGGACGACTGACGAGGGGTGACGCGCGTGACGTAGGTACGGTTCGACGACGGGTGGTGCCGCAGGGAGAGGTGCGACGACCGCCGCCGCAGGGGAGCATGTTGCGATTCTACTCGGACGAATCGCCCGGGTTGAAGATCACCCCGGTGGTGGTGTTGGGAATGTCGGTGTGCTTCATCGGGTTCGTCACCATGCTGCACGCGATCGCGAAGATCTCGGCGTACACGTCGGGGAAGTGATTTGGAGGACGCGATCGTGGTGAGCTCGTTCGTAGAGGTTGTGATGCAGAGGCGCGAGACGCTTTCGTCGACGTTCTGTTCGTCCAGTTTTTCCTAATACGTCTACGATTTCTATGAATTCTACGCGCTAATCTATTGAATGTGGAAGAGTTCGAATCCTCGTCCGGCGACGACGAGCGTGAGGACGCCGTCGGGTGCCGCGAGGACGTCGATGTCTTCCGGCTCGGGCGCTTGCGTCATGACGCCGCCCGTCGGCGCGACGCAAATGTCGTCTTTTGTGAGCGAGATGGACCACATCTTCACTCGTTGATCGACGCTGGTTGAAATAATTCGTTCGCCGTCCGACCACACGCTTCGCATCGCGGAACTGTGTGAAAACTTGTACTCGCCGACACGTCCAGGAGAGACGCCGTCGCCGTCGCGTCGCATTTCTTGCACTCTCAGCATTTGATCATCTCCCCCGCTGACAACGATGAATGCATTTTCGTCCGCGGTGCGAGTGATACACAATGCATTCACGCCTGACTGATGTGCGTGCTCGAGAACGTACGCCGGATCGATAATGTCTGAATCATCCAAGCGCCACAGCGCGATGGTGCCATCCGTGCCGCCGCTGCACGCCCATGTGCTTTCACCTTCAAGAACGTCCACGCTGAGAGCCGGACACGCGTGATGACGAAGCGATGAAATATCGCGCCAAACGCGCGCTCTTTCGTCCATGGTTACCACGGAGACAGCGCCAAGACTTGTCGAGTACAACACTCGGAGCTGCCCTCTGCGCGAGTACGTGGCGACGTCCATGATGCGTTGGTCGCTCTCTGCCCGTGGCTCGACATAACCACATCCCTTCGTCCATGCACGCGTGCCTGCTTTATCGACGGGTTTGGGAATAATGAGGGCGACAGATTTGAAGTCCCAAGAACCCAAATCATCGGAAGCCCACGACAGGCGGAATGCGAGCAACACCTCCTTCGCTCCGCCGGCGCAAAGGATATAAGAATATTCATCCTCTTTGAATATGCTCACAGCCTTGACCGTGCGACCGCCTGGGTGTTTGCAGATGTCACCGGGCGAGTGCACGCGCGTTCCATCTCGCCTGCTCGCGTCATACAGCAATCTCATGACCGTTCCGTCTTCCGATCCAGTGATGATACCGAGAGGAGCACCTACGGCGTCAACTGGCGGTGGAACTATGCGCACGGTGTGAATCTCACGTCTGCGAATAATCATACATGGTATACGGTCAGTCTTTGAGCATCGAGTCCAAGCAAGGCGCGTATTAAAATTGATCCTCATAGTTGCCTTCACTGTTCATGTTGAACGACACGCCGTTGCGATACCGCCGACGTCCGACTGAAAGTCAGGGGCAATAACAGCAGTGCGACGAGTCTCACATTACTGCATATATTTATGTATAGTCATCGGATCTTCGCGTGATATATCAGACCGCGTCGCATAACGTACCCGTGGGACCATAAACTGGTGGACTCGTTCTCTGCGGTATTCACGTGTTCGTTCCACCGTGTGATGATGTGAAGAGATGTCTTTTGACGATGGACGAAGATGACTCGATCGCCGTCTTCCATCAACACGTCGTGCGGCGTGCTTTGTGCTTGGCAACGTATCTTCATCATTTGACGCTGATCACTGATCGAGTAAACGACAAAGTTCGTTTCGCGAAAACCAGCCGCGCGAGCGAGCTCGCCGTTGGCGTTGAGTGACACGAAGCCCACGCATGCTTTGGACGGCGATGTCCACTTCGAATCCAGAAGTAGCTCGCCATCGGTGGTCAAACTCCAACGACAAACGTTAGAATCGCGTCCGCTGGTGACGAACACAGGTCCCGGAAGAATCTCGCACGCGTTAATTGATGATGTCTTCTCGTGTGCAGACCACTTTTTCGCAACGAGCTTGAGCTCGCGCGCATCGTCAGTATTCGCATCATACACGCACAAGTTCCCTTTTTGATCACCGACGAGCACGAGGTGTAACGCATCGGAGGTCGCGATCGATAAAATTCGATGACGGTACGGATTAACCAAAGTAAATGCGCACCGCGAGTAGCGGCCCCGATTCCAACATTTCAGGACACCGCCAACAATGGAGGCGTACACTCTTCCTTGCGTTGAAAAAACGTCAAGTAGCACTCGAGGATCCGACGCTCGCCAAGATATCATCTCCTTCCTTTCGCCAGACTCTTGAGAGACGTGAACTACGTGTATGATGCCCTCCAAGTCGGCGAGTGAAACAATGTCCAACGTATCGGTGCGCTCTACAGACATCGACATGATCGCATATTCGTTCTCCAGTAGACGCTCCCAAATCCATCGCTCGCCTTCCGACGTCTCCACAACGCGATACAAATATCCCTTATTCGTCGCCACGTACAGTACTCCGTAACGCGCGATGCGAACAACTCGAATAAACTCATCGTCTGCGCTGAAGAAGCTCATTCGTCTCTTGCTCGTCTTGCGTTTCTTAGGCGCGGCTTCCTTTGATTCCATCGCCACGTCTTCCTGATCTTCGACTTCATCGACCATCATCGCGGACTCTGGATACGAAGTCTCACTCTCGCGCAACACCACACCGTCGTTTGCACCCGATGATTTGGTCCAGTCGTTCGTGTTCCAGATTTTTACACTCCCATCCGCGCCGGCGCTGGCGAGAAAGCTATCGCCGTTCGATGACTCGATCACGCACAGGCGCCATATCCCGCGCCCTCGATGTCCCCGAAGCGTCGCAATTTCGCAATCACGCTGATTCGCGACGCCATCGGCGAGCGTCATCGTACCGTGCGCGTTGCTGACGTCCCACACGCGAATGGTGCAATCTTCGCCCGCCGTCGCGTACACGGGCCGGTCTCCGCCGATGCGCACGCAATCCCACACTCGCGCGACGTGGCCAGCCAAAACAGCACACGGGGGAACTTCCTCGCAATATCCACTCGACATCACGTTCGAAACGTTCCACACGCGCGCGGTTCGATCGTCTGAAGCCGAGTACACGGCGTCATCGTCGTCGCCGAACCGCACTCGCATCAACGAGCCCTCGTGTCCGACGCACCTCGCCCGCACCTCGCCGTCGACCACGCCCCAGATCTGTATATCATTGAATATTGTTCCCGCCGCCACTCGCATTCCCTCCCACGTCGCGCTCGCGCTCAGCGCCATCGTGTACAACGTGCACCTCGACGCGCACTCCACGCGCGCCGTGCGCGTCCACGTCCGCGCGTCCACCCCCCGACTCCATCGCTCCACCGAATTATCGCTCAATCCGATCGCGATCGTCATCACGAACCCACTCTCCGCCTCCACCACCCCTCGTACGTCGTGCACCCACGCCCCGTGCGCCGGGAGCGCCGTCCCGCCGTCCGCGCGCCAGCCGCCGCGCGCGTCGCCCTCCACCTCTTCCATCGCGAACACCGTCGTCCGTCGCGCTCCGTACGCCGCGAACGCCTCACCACGAGGCATCGCTCGTATCCCGTGCACGCGCGCGCCCCCGCACAGGGCGTCTCGCGCGTCGACGCACCGTAACTCGCGTCTCTTCTCATCCAGGACGTACACGAGCACCCTGGACCCGATTCCCGCGACGACGCGATCGCGCGCGACGTCCACGCACGCGACGTCACCGACGTACGCCGCGGACGTCATCTCGCGCGCGCGCGACATCGAGGCGAGGTGTGACGCCGCGGATGATTCGCGACGTTCGAGACATTCTCGACATTCATCGACGCCCATGCGTCGTCGCGTCGCGTTCGCGTGCGTCTTCGCGCTCGGCGCGATCGCGGTGGCGCAGGCGTCGATCGCGTTCGACCCACCGAGCGGGACGACGAGCGCGCGAGGCGGTGTACGGGTGAAGATGACATCGTCGAACGCGCCCGCGGAGGAAATCTTTTACACGCTCGACGAGAGCGCGCCCGCGATCGGGGGGGAGACGACGAAGCGGTACACCGAGGATGGCGTCGACTTACCGTGCGTCATCGTCGATCGACGCGCGCGATGGATCGAGGGATGCGAGGGTGACGAAGAGGGAAATTGTGTGAGAATCGCGACGGCGCGCGACGCGGCGTTCGAACGCGCGCGACTGACGACGACGCGTGACGACGCCTGGACGCATCGCAGAATCGGAACGTGGATCGTGAAGGCTGCGCCGCGGGTGAACGGCTCTCTGGGTGACGTGAGCGTGGCGAGTTACGAGGTGCGACGAAGAGGCGAGAGCGACGGCGCGCCCTTGACGCTCGGGAGCGCGCTCGGCGTGGCGCTGTTGCTCGTGATGGGTTTATTCGGATTCGTCGTCTTCGCCGGGGTGTGCACCGCTGGGTTTAACGCGTTGTTCGGGAAGACGGCGCCGACTATGCGGGGACCGGGTGTGAGCGACCCGAGGACGTCGACGGAGAGTAGCGCAGAGCTAGGACAGCTGCCGAGCGGCTTTCGGAATAATCCGGCGGTTGCGAGCGCGGATGACGCGGGGACGTCGAGGTTGATCACGCGTTCCTCGTCGTTGAGTAACTTGACGCCCACTCGATTGGGGAAGAAGGATTAATTCGCGGTTTTGAGGGATACGCGTGTTGTAGTGTCATACAAGATTTAGTAGACGTGCGTCGCTCACGTTCTCCACGCGTCGCTTTTTTCCTCGTCTTGATCTTCCTCCCACCAGGTCGATGTCTTGTAACCACTGCGAAGCTTTTTCATGGGGCTGTCATCGGGATCGTTGATTCCGAGGGCGATGAGCATCTCCTCCTTGGCCTCGGCGAGCGTGAATCTATCCTCGTTTTCCGCCACGCACGCCAACACGCCGTTGGATTGCTTGATCATCACCTGCCACGGCGCCGGGTACTCCCGGAAAATCGCACCGGAATAGTTGACGATGAACGGGGAGACCGAAATACTGCGAGAGTAGTTTCTGGTGCGGAGGTAGAACGCGGGGGTGAAGCGGCTCAGGAAGCGATAGTGCAGGTCCTTCTCCGGAAAGGAGAACAGACCGAGATCGGCGCGAAGCGTGTCCAGCTGATTGTTCAGGGCGATGATCGGGCGACCCTTGGCGATGTTTTGCTCGAACTTCTCCAAGTTTTCGAGTTCGATCGTACTCAGGTTGACGGCGATGAAGACGTCGGCGTCCTCGAAATCGTTATCCTTCTCAGCCTCTTGACGCGTTCGCAAACCCTTACCACCCATGAGATCGCTGAACGCGTTACCGAACATACCTCCCTTCTTACCATCCAAAACGTTGATTCTCACCTGTTCGTTGGACAACCCGAGCGCTTGTTCAAAAATCTTCTTCGCGCGTCGATACTCTATCCCATCCGGCACCAACACGTCCACCCGCTTCCCTTTCTCGTCGTTCAACCGTTTAGCGATCGTCAACGCGTACTGCAAGTTCGCATCGATGTACACGTCGCTCGCGGCTTTGTAATCAGCGTCTTCGCCAGGGATCGCCGGGAACTCCACCTCGATGAGCGTCTTCCCATCCGCCAACGCATCCGCCACGCTCGCGTACGCGTCTCTGCACATCTCCGTGTACGACTCGGGGGCGTACGTCGATCGGCCCTCCGCCCGCTCCTCGCTCGTGCGCTCCACCGCGGCCGCGGCTCGACGGAC